GGGGTCTGTGGAGCTCTGTGACAGCCAGGTTACAGCATGATGAGGACATAAAGGCTCATGTAAAGATAGCAGGATCCTATCAAAAGGTGTTCAAAACTAGTTCTGCCTTTTTACCTCCTCATCACTTCCTGAATCCCTTCCATCGTGCTTGGACCCCGAGGATCACACTGTAAAGCATGGGTCCTTTCATGGACCCCTGTGCCTCTGCCCCCTCAGGTGCAGGGGACAATTCATTCTGCACCTCACAAGGACTGGCTTCACTCGCCATGGGCGGCCATGGGTCCTGATCTGATAACCATGGCTGTAAATTATTTATCTTGGGCAAACTGAATGCCAAGAAGGGAGAAGGGGAAGGGAGCGAGAGTTTGTGTTTTCTCTAAAACATAATTAGCTTTCGCTCACCACATGTGTCAGCAGAAAGAGCCTCGCTTCACTAAATGTTCTTCTCTGCTGTGTATCTCATTTGGGGACTTGTTTGGAAGGAGACAGAGAAAATACCCCGAGTGTTTAAGTCTTACAGAAGTAACTCATTTTGTTCAGGATGATGTCTTGTTGGCTTCTGGGTGTTTCAGAAAGTGTACTGCATACATATTTCTCTTTAACCTTCTTTTTATTGCATGAAGATGAGATCAAGGGTTACTTATATAGCACATAATATCAGCCACAGGCTGCGTCAGAAGCTTTCCAGTCATAATAACTAAAGACATGTATACGTATATTTTAGCCATTAAGGAGAAAACCCTGCCAGAATGCATTATCTTATTTTTTGATACAAAACTTTGAAGCACAAAACTAAGCTTCATAGTACTGCAAAATAACTGTTACGGGACAGAAGGGTTTCCATAACTGAATCGAGCAATGGGCCATCCAGGCTACTTGCAAAGCCGCTGCAGTGGCCAAAATGGGGTACTACACATAAAACATGAACTCTGGGCCTCTAAATTGGTTCTTTCATTGGGAAAGCAGCTCTGAGCCAGCTAATGCCATACAAAAGGAGCATGATGGCATGATCTATCCCTAAAGTGGTGAGGATTTATGGTAACGTAGTGCTAAACTCAAGGCACCTCATCCATCATTTTTTCGGTACAGCCCAGTGGGCAGAGTGTGGGACCATGAATCTGGCAAATGACCATGCCTTGATTTCCCTGCAAAATGGGACAGCAGCGGAGATTTCAATTAGGAAACACGCTGAAATAGTAATGAAGTCAAGAATGAGAGCTGTATGTGCTGTTCGGCATGAATAATACCTGCTGGTGGCTGTGTTCAGCAAAGCACTTCAGTTTATCTTTACCTGAAGGCATGTGATTAAGATTGCTCCTGGGTTTTAGCGCTCAGGGCAAGAACTGGGGCTCTGTGGTTTTGCTGGGGCAGTGAGGCTGCTGTTCCGCAGGGCGGCGCAGCCTGGGATGCAGGGGAGCGTGTGATGCAGGCGAGCAGCAGCTTTGCAAGAGCAGCCGCTCGCCAGGAGCGAGGCACTTAGGAGAACAGCAAACACGGTGGCAGTAAAAGGCGATCAGAATATTGATTCTTTTTATATACAGATAAGCCTGAAGCTGTAACAAACCCAGGGTTTCCTAAAACTGGTGGAACATTGCTAGGTTGTTTATCAGGCTGGGAGACACAAAAGGATTTCAGGTAAAAGTGGTTTCAAAGCATCAGGGCTTACCTCTGTATTGAAAACATGTGGATCTGTACCATGTTATGTATCGTGTAGCCGCATACGTTTTGTAAATACGCATTGTCTGGCTGTGCAGGACATATTCATCCTCGGTGTAAGCGTGGAAAGCAGCAGAGCTACATCAGAGATGAATTTGCCCAATTACGAGTGATAAACTCAGCCATTGTTCAGGGCACAGCAGAGAGCACGATGCCGGCTTGCTGAGGGCTCACCAGGGAGGCGCCTGGCAGGAAAAACCACCACGTAACAAAACCCAAACCCTTCCCTGTACAAGCAAATTCAGTTCTCTAACGGCTTTTTTTCCCCTTTTTTTTTTCCCCAGACAGCGTAACTGAAGTCAAGACAGACATTTACGTGACAAGTTTCGGCCCTGTCTCGGACACAGATATGGTAGGTGCCGCTGGCTGGTCACCTCACGGGGAGGGATGGCTTCTCCTGCAGCCGCAGTGGATGTGTCCCACCCTCATCCCTGGACAATCTGGGCAAAAGCAGGATTTTCGTAAACGACAAGAACAAGAGCAAGCATCCCAGCTGCCCGCCCGCGCAAGAATGTGTGTCATCATCTTCTTGAAGGCCAGGGGGAGCTCAGTGTGGGTGGTAGACAGGGATTGTTTCTCAGGTGCATTTGGGCTTTTAGAAACCAATTGATAATGGCAAATGCAACCTTGGAGGGTCGATGCCTTTGCACCGCTCACGCACGATGCAGGCTCTAGGGTCTTTTTCTTTTCTGCAAGTGCAACCTAATGAAATCGGGAGATCTGCCCACGGGACCAAGACCTATATGTAGCATGCTACACCTGTTACATACTTTGACAAACACCTTCACTGTAGCCAGCTTTCCTTGACCTGACAGTGCATGGAGGAAGGAGGGTGCTCCCTGGGAAGAGGGGAGGATGCCAGAATCTGGCCTGTTTTGGTGGCGGTGCCAGAAGAGAACGGTTCACCATCAAACTGTCCTTAGTGCTTGAACCAGAAGAGAGGCAAAAGAGAAAAAAGAAAAAGAATGAACTGATTGCCATATTTTGACGTGTTCAGGCAAAATTATTAATGAAAAGGCCTGAGGTCTGAATTTAGGCTTGTATTCCCACAACAGTTTGTCTTCTAATTAAAACAGGACTGTGGAGCGTAATTAATAGTGAGCTTTCTCAACAGCATTTCTTGCAGCTCGTATTCCATACGCGCCCAGTCGCACAGAGAAGAGTTGGCTGTTGATGGTTGCTCAACATTTCAAAGGGCCACATGAGGACAGTCATGCACTTAGGACTGAGACCCTCCTGCACAACCAGTCCCAGAGGTGACCTGGTGCTGGCATAGCCCAGGCCAGCGGTGGGCAGTCCTGCCCTTGGAGGGAGCCCACTTCGGGAGAGGGAGCAGGCATTGCTCTCACCAGCTGGGTCAGGCAGGAGCAATGTCCTGTGACTCTCACGGCCCCTCCAGAGCTGGGAGGGTTTCATTTTCTGTGTTCACATGGCCATGAACCTCTCTTCAGCTGCCCCACTGACAGTCCTGTGGTAGCAAGCGGAGGAGTTGCAGGAGAATAAAATCTCTGTGTTTCATTGAGGTGTTAACCCCATCACACAACCCCATGTTGCTTTGGAAAGACCACTCCCTCCAGGGTTAGAAGTTATCTTGATGTCAGCATAGCCAAGAGTATTAATCTCATCTGAGTTCTCTCTCTATCTCACTTGCTTTTCTACTGCAGCGGAGACCCATAATATATTCAGCAATCTTAGCCCTTGGGGAGTATCTGATAATTACTTCCAAGGTGGAGCATATTTGATTAAGGGAGCGTGTATAATGAACTGTGAAGAAGAAATATGAGGTATTGAAAAGAGGAAGGTATTCTCTGCAATGTGATTTGACAAAATGAATTTAAAATTAGGAAGACAGTTAAAGAATAATAAATTATTTCCCCTTCGCATGCTTTAGTTCCATGTATTTTACAAATGCATAGCAAATGTGTTTTAGCGTGCCGTTCTGGTGCTAAATGCACTCAGAAACATGAGAGAGAGAAACCCCATCTCCTCGGGAAGCATGGGGAGAGCCTGCTCTTCTGTGGTGGTTCCTTTCATCTCGGGAGTGGGGAAGTCCCTCCTTCCCTGCTCACATCTGCCTGGTGATCTCGCTCCCATCCCTCCCACAGCCATTACTCATTGCAATGGAAACCTGCTCCTGTGCATCTTGATGCAGACAGAGACTGTAATTATGATGATGGAGGAGAGGCAGGTAAAGCTGTGGAGAGCGGAGGAGAGCAGCTGGTTATAAAGTGTGGAGGAGGACGTGTAGACTTTTTCCCTGAGATGCTCCAAGGGACTTCTAATCTCTCTTTCAGTTTGGTTTGGAAAGTAGAGCCTGATAGGACCTGACATATGCTTGAATCTTTGGTAGTGAGCTCTTGCAGCTTTGCCTCAGTCCCCAGGAAATTAAAAAAAAAAAAACAAAAACTTCAAGGGAGTTTTATGCTTTGGTGGATGGACTCTGGAGACAGACTCAGTCTTGATGTTTTTGGTCACTTCTGTAAGGCAGTGAAGAGCATAACGTAGAACTAAGTGTGCTCCTTGGAAGGGGTGACTTGGGAATGATGCTATCATGGAAAGAAATATAGAAAAGGGAAAGAATCTGAACATGATTTCTCTTTTCTTCGGGAATGATTACTTAGCATAAAAGAAGAAAAATAGGGTCTGGAAAGTTGTTATAAAAGTTTTGCTTCTTTGTTTTTTTAATAGGAACAGGGAGTTCTGAATAAGAGCTCTTCTCCTGATAAGGACTTTTCCCAAACCTACCTCCTGGGACTGCACACAGGCTCATTCCTTTGGTTTTATCCCTTTACTGAGCTTAAAACCACAAAGTGAAGATCATTTCCATGAAGGGGCAGAATATCTTGTGCAGGACAGAGCCTGTGGGAACATAGGATCTTCTCTTTCCTTCCCCCAGCCAGGCTCCAGAAACTTCACATTTGAGCAGGAGTGGTTCTGTGGCCAGGGAGCAGGGATGAATTTCTTTACCGAGATGTTTTCATTCAGCTGCCGTCTGCTGCAAAACCTGTAGGAATTTCTATGACCTATACGAAACTGATGCACAGAAGCTTTTAAATGCTGAGAAGAGCTGCACGAAAGAAATCACTCAAAATTTAGTTGGTCCTGCAGCCTCCCGGAACTCATAAATAAAGACTATCCATCTGCAATGGCAGGGGAAGAACAGCTGGGACAGACAGATTTTCTGAAGCCCCTGTCTCTCTCTGAAAGCCTCATGAGCTAATGAGATCCTTCATTAGCAAGAGGAGGTGTGTGTTGTAGAGGTGAGCAGTGGTGCAGCTCATGCTGACTGGCTGAAGGCTTTCCCTCAAGTGACGTGGACCCTCAGAGGACACGGGGTGGCTCAGGTCACAGGGAACGGCAGTCCCTTATGCCAGACACCAGGCAGATTTATTTAATTTTGCCTCGGGGTGGCCGTGGAGCCATAGCACCTTTGCTCCTTCGTCAAGTGGTTTCTGAGGCTGCACACACCAAGTGGGGAGCTGGTTGTGGCTGCAGGGTTTCAAAGAGATGAATTCTAATTGCCCTGACTGGAATCTGGCCTAGGAAATGGGTTTCTACACTAGCTGAAAGAAGGAAAAAAAAAAAAAAAAAGAAAAGAAAAGAAAAAAGAAAGACAAGAAAAAAGGGAAAAAATAAGAAAAAGGAAAAAGAAGAAAAAGAAAAGAAAGTCACAGGATCTTGTAATGCAAGTTTGTGAGGTCCTTGATTCAACACGTTTCCAGAGGTGGCCTGGGGAACAAGATAACATTAAGTCAATGTCATGAAACTTTATTTCTTTACTTTTTTATGAGCAAGGGTATAATTACCAGTATACTGGCCAAATTCCATCTCCAGGAACTTTATTTTTGCCTTTTTAAATTCCCGTGTAGCTACACACAATGGTTCCCTCCCCTGAAACATCTGGATGAAGGTGGTGGTGCAGCAGGGCTACCCCAGGACTGGCCGCTGGCCAGTGTAGGCTGTATTGCAGCTTGTCTGTAGTGGTCAGAAACGCAAATTTTGGCACCATATGTAAGTCATTATACAAAATGTGGTAAATGCCCTCTATCCTCCACAGATTTCTCCACTGCCGTTAATCCCTACTTCTTGTTGCATCACGGTTCATGACAAGCAAGGTGTGCCAAAACACAGTATGCTCAATGACCGAGGATATTTACCGTTTCTTGAAGTGGCTTGTTTGCAATGAAGAGCTGAGTAAAACAAGACTTACTTTTCTTTCCTTTCTCCACAAAGGAATACACTATTGATGTCTTTTTCCGGCAATCCTGGAGAGATGAAAGGCTGAAGTTTGATGGTCCCATGAAAATACTTCCCCTGAACAACCTGCTGGCCAGTAAGATCTGGACTCCTGATACCTTCTTCCACAACGGGAAGAAATCTGTCGCCCATAACATGACAACACCCAATAAGCTGCTGCGCCTGGTGGACAATGGCACTCTCCTGTACACCATGAGGTAAGTTTGTGTCTCCTGGGCCAGAGCCTTCCAGGTCCCTATACACATGCAGGCAAGGATGGGACCTCAGGGTACATTACAGCAGGGTTTGTGCAGACTTCCACTGACTCTGGTAGCACACTTGAGTCTTACCCTGCTGCCTTCCCTACTATCCTTGTTTCCTACCTATGTGGCATCACTGATCCTCAACTTAAGCACATTTTTACAGGTAGCTTTTTTCTCATCAATCAATTTTTTTCTTTTATGTGATGAGGTAGAAGTGTTGGGATCTATAGTTTGTGGAGTTGGTGCGCCACCCAACTTATTTTTGTTTCTAACCGCCAGTGGGATATGAAGTCAGGTTTCCAGTACTGGTAGGGGAACATTAGGATGAGAGAATTTGTTATTCTCCAGCAGCTTGAGAACAGATCTAAATTTGTTCAGCACGTTACACTGGAGCCGTTTGAAACATCTAATGAGCCTAAGCTTGCTTGTGAGAACAATGGGGGTTTTTTTCCTGCTTCATGGAATCAAAAATCCAAATCTGTGTAATCAATGCATGTCATTAGGAAAAAAGAAAATCACCAGCTTATTAAAAGCTGTGCTTTGGAGATGCCGGGTTTGGAGAGGCCATTGGAATTTCTCAGTTTAACCCAGCCCATGTTGTCCCCAGCTGAGCTCTCAGTGGGAGCCTCAAACATGAGGTAGCCCTGCAGCATGAGACCCTAGGCAGTGATACAGCCTGTGCAACCCCACTGTGAGCTCCAACTCAACTGGGGTCTTCCTTCTAAAACACGAGTCGCTCTTGGGGAACCATGCTTGGGCAGTCATCTTCTCTGGATTTCTCAAGAACAGCCCTGGTACGTACAGTTATCACTAAGCTGCAAAGGTGAAGAGCATGAAGAGAAACACCTTTGGGTTAATGGTACATTCGTTCCGGAACTATTCAGATATTCCTGTATGCTTGTAAGCTATTCACCCATGTAAATAATGTTTGCCACCTGGGGCTGATGTATTAATTTGCCTTCCAAGGTAAATGGGCTTATAAATGAAACAACAGCCTACTCAGAGATGCACAAGAAAGGTATTGAGTTGATTTTGGAAAGGTGTAAATCTTTGTTTTCAAAAATTATTTTTTCTGCCTCCATCTTCAAGCCGATCCTAACTAATAACAGGCTTCATTGTGGATTGTGTGCTGAGGTGCTGCACTTTCACCTCTGTTTTTTGAGGACCAGACAGAATTTCATCTTTTCATAGTTAAGCTGGCTGTCAATCTACATAGTGTCAGCAAGTTTTACAGCCTACATTGATAAACAATGCTCTGCTTTTGTGCAGCAGTTCTCAAATATGAGCTAATCCTGCCAGTGCCCTGGGGGTTTAGGTCTCCACACATCAGTGATCTCACGTTACTGAGGCAGATGGGGTAAATGAAGAGAGAAGCCCAACTTGACTTAAGTGCTCGCTTCTGCTCCCGGCTCTCTGACCTGCGTGTGGATGACTAACACTCTCCCCGATTGTATCATTGTCTGACTGTGAAGTATTATAGGAGCTACTGGCATAAGACAGCAAAAAAAGGACTTAATTTCAGGGCTTTTATATCATTTCACTTCTTCTTTATTCATCAAACAGCCATTAGCTTCAGCGAGTTTTGTGTGACTGAGAAAGTACCGGATTTACTTTTCCGTTTAGGGCTGGGCATGTGCCAGGATGGCAGCATCACGAGGCTCTTGGGAATGAGCTTCTTGAAGAAAATGGAGTCATGGGGTTTTTTTAAATAAATTCAACACATCCTTCAGTTTTGCTGTCTCCCAAAGAAGCGGGGGATGAAGGACAGCTTGGACCTCCCTTTGCATCTGCTCCTGCCCCCCTTAAATGTACCTCTAAGGCTTTGTAAGAGGTGAAGAGCCCACTCAGACATACCCAAAGGTTGAGGGTTGGATATCAGGCCTTTTGTCACATGTTATGTTGCACAGTACCAGGAACTGTAGTGCATGGAGGTCTTTTCCTTACCCAGCACAGATCGCTGCTGTGCAAATGTGTGTGAAGCTATGCTGGTGGGGCTCCAGGCAGTATTGGACCAGCCTGATGCTGGAGATGTGGTTAGAGCTGGCCAGATGGCCATCTGGAAAGCACTGCTCACTGCACAAGACAGTGTGTCAGGGGCAAAGCAGGGCTCCTCTGGGTTTGCAGTTCAACATGTCCAGGACGGGATGTCTGTCCTGGTGCATCTGGTGGTTGCCCTTCTCCCTGCTGCTGAAGGAAATGCCTGCTCAGGGCCACACAGGGTCTTTTGAGTGGGGGCTCAGAAAGGAAGATGCAAGGGCACAGGCTGCATGGTCCAGGACTGTGCATCAGGCTGAGGCTCAGAGACCAAGTCCTACCTGGCTCTGCCACTTATATGCACTCACACCTCAATTCCCCTGTAAAATGATGATGATGGTATCACTCTCCCTTGTTAAGTGCTTTGAAACCTCCGCCCAGGAAAGGGCTGGAAGGAGACTCATGCTTTATGTCCAAGTGGCACATCTGCTGTTCTCCCCCATGCCCAGGGGCATGCATGTGTCCTTCTCAAAGGAAGGAGCAGGACTACGAAGCCAATCTCAGCCCCACACAGCTGACATCCAGCAAAGCGCAAATCCCAAAGAGGCACGCTCTGTCCTGCTGACTAGGGAGTGAGTTTGGACCTCCACCAGATTTCCCCTGGATTGGCAGGACTGCTCAGGTGATCCCTTGCAGGCTCTGTCTAGACTGGTACATTGCCATGCAGTTTGACTCCTGAGACATATCTTACTCCTTTACCTTGTACCAGCCAATATCCTTGAGGGATCAGCTCTGCTGATGTGCAATTAGAGGCATGTCTCTTGCTATTTATCCTGCTGTGAAAGCCAACTTCTCTTAGTCGAGGCTTACATTTATAGATGAAGTTGTTCTGGTGGAACAGCAACTCTGACACATGCATCCAGCAAAATTACACCTGTGTGACAATATTTATAGCTCCTGGAGAGAGCCTCTTTATCACTGACCTGAGCTTCAAGGAGTCGCACACCAGCTGTAGCTGAGCATCCAGAGATGTTCTTTAGTCATGGCAGAGCCTCCTCGCAGATCGGTGCAACGTCACGGTGCAAACATCTGATCACTGACTCAGGCCTTGGCACCTGGCTGACAAGATGGCCTTTGCGACCGCAGCACAAAATTGCATTTCTCTATTCCCCTCCTTCTGGCTGCTGAGGAAGGGACAGGATTACTGATCCCTCTGCCTCTTCCCTGCTACTCCGGCTGCCTTAGAGGGCATGGGGAACACAGTTTTTTTATGTAGCCGTGCCTCTGCAGTCTTGTTTGTGGAGCTCCTACAAGATCCAAGCAGTTCACAAAAGCCCAGTTAGGGCCTCAAAGCTCTGGTGTCAGACCTGAGTACAACAAACTGGGAATTGTGCATGGATTTACATAAGGTACAGACAAAAACTCAGCTGCTGCAGTAATAGCTGGATGTACTCTCTAGCTCAAATTGTGTGGGGCATATAGATAATGTTCTGGTTCTTCCTGGCCTTGAAGCATATGAAAATAGTAAAAACTTAATGCTGTGCCGATGGGATTCAACTTTGTGAATCCAGGCTTTAAAGAGCTCTCCTGCTTTTCACCGGGATTGTCAGAGTGGCATGTTGAGGCTTTGTGGTTATTGTCAGCGTGGTTCCTAGACAATATGTGCTCCAATTATGCACTTAAAGTATTTTTTTTGACTGCCAGGCTGACGTATTCAGCTGCATGCCCAAAGACTGCCTCAAGAACCTGTCTTGCTAAAGACAACATGAAGTCCTTAGTGGCAGCGCATGAGCACTTGGGAAGGAGGATTGGTGAACCCCTGGGTGAGGCAGAGGCAGAACAGGAGGGAAAGCTGAGTACAAAGGCACCCAGGAACGTGCAGTCCTACTGGGGCTGTTGAACCCCAGATAACAAGTCCTGTACCTACTGTGGCATGCTCAGGGGTTTGAGCTTCCCAGCCTGCTTTTTGAAATCACAGAGCTTCACAGTGTCTCTCCCAGCAAAGGCTTTGAGTTGTCTTTACTGCCTGGTTTTTTTTAACCCCCGGGCAACTTGTAAGAGCTGTAGGCTGGAGCTTGCAGAACCCTTCCACACGATGGAGGTGCAACCATCATTCTCCCTTCTGCAAGGGCAGCAGCTGGGACATCCCAGCACCAGCTCCTCTAAGTAGTACGGACTGGCAGCTATTTGGCTGCATCCCACATCAGGGCTGATCCTAGACAACAGCATAAATGGACATGAGCAGACCAAAGCTAGACTGCTAAACACGCAAGCGGACGGATAGACGAGATAAGATTTGCACAGCCTGGTTTTCCCTCCCTTACAGATTTCAGAGTGGATCCAAAGGCAGAAATGATCTATTTTCCAGGCTTGGTTTTGTGCAGGCAGACTTTTGTAAGGAAGCTGTCCCAGGAGGGAGAAATCTTCAGAGATCAACTTATCTCGCTGCATTTCTGCCATCATGGGCTGAAATCTCCAGGGGCTGGGGGAGGATGCAAAGTGAATTCAGTGCTTTCAGATCCAGCACAAAGATCCTAGAAGCAATTTGGCTTTCAAGCTCAAACCCCAGCAATTAAACCTAACCTAGATTCTCACACAGGCTAAACCGTAAACACTATTCGGCCTGACTTAATGAATCTCCTAGAGAAGAAATCAGGACAAAACTCAAGCAATATCTCTGGCATAAACAAAGTCAGTTCTGCTGTGCAGGGTGCTGTCATGTTTTTGTACCACACATACACCAAGGGATTATTACATTTGCGCCCCAGAAATTGGACTGAGACTCTCGCTCATCCTGCAGCACGACGCAGGTAACGACAGGGGCTCTAATGACACATCAAAGGCTTCGCTAAGCTCCTGGTAACCATGAGAACGAAGCTGAAGTGGTTTGTTGTACCGTCAGCCCTGGGAGAGGTATGTTTAGCCTGATTCACGCTTCTTGCCATTGTGTCGAGCAGTTCAAAGGAGTTCCCATGACTTTAAAGAGAAAAACATGGTTTCTCTCCTGGATGTTCCACTTTTGGTGCCATTGTGCTGGCAAAGAGAAGAGAAAACATGAGGAGTTTGGGGTTTGATTTCAAGACAGTTCTGCATAAGTTATTGCTAGCGCCTGGGACAGATGAGCCAAAGGATACAACAGCTCGATTATGTGATTGCTGGCAGCTTGGCTATTTTTCACGTGTGTTTAGGCTTTATAATGACATTTCAGGGCTCAGATGTCTGGACCTGAACAGGGCATCAGAGCAATGAAGCAAACCTCTGTGGCTAGCTGGCCATAAGCTCCCTTGCACAGGGTAAGGGGCAAAGATGAGAATTTCTGCAAACAGAGTTTCTCTTTTACCCGAATTCTGCAGAGGCATTGGTAATTGTCTGGGAAGTGAGATACATTCCTCTTAGTTTGATATTTTGATGTTTCATTAGGCAAAGCATATGGTGCTGAGGAGCCCTTCGCCAGCAACAGGAGGTGGCAGGGAAGGCCAGTGGCGGGGGGAGCGGATGTGGGCACTCTCCTGAACGGTGATTGATTCCACAGCTCACCTAAATACCTCTGCTAATTAGCACTCTGAAAGATGAGTGTGTGCAAAAGAGGCTGCAGGAGGGGGATGAAAGATGGCTGAGGGATGCGGGGGGCAGAGGGATGAGCAGGAGCGAGCTGCAGTGCATGCACTCTGGTCGTGGGGAAAGCATCTCAGGGAGCCAGCACACCCCTACATGTGTCGGGGCAAAGCGAAGAGGTTTCAGGCAAGGGAGAACACCCGGGAGGGGGGGAATGCTTGTGTTGCTTCCCCCTTCATGTGTTATCTGTGAACGTGCTGACTTCTGGCTGGCTGAAGTTGCTGAACCAGACTCATCTTGCTGGAATGTTATGGCATTTTCTTTTTTATTTAATTTCAGGAGACTTAAAAGCTCCTTCAGCTGTAGGTGGAGAAGTGGCAGATTAGGTTGCTTTTTCAGTGGTTTGTTGATGGATTTATTGTGATGTTTATTGGCTCAGCTAATAAAACACACTTTAGATTTAAAATATGACTCCTGCATTCCCACACACCTATGGAGTCATCCAGCATCCGTATAAGGTTGTCTCCTTCCCTTAGCAACACTTGCTCTTGTTGGCCACAGCCTGGAGAGGGCAGGAGGGTATGGCCAAGGCCAACTTGTGCCAAGCTGGTCTCTGCTGCCATCCTGGCCCCCTCTGAGGCTCTTTCTGGCTGCTTTAAATGACACTCAACCACCGGACCCACAATCTGTGATCCTTTGAGTCGTTCAGCCTTATTCATAGTGGCTGTTGATCACAGCCAAGACTTGCAAATGGTACAGTGGATGAAAAAGGCCTTTCTGGTTTTTTGGGGGAGTTCATGATGTATCAGAAGGAAAGCACTGATCAGAGGAGAGGTTCTTTCGAAAAGCTGACTTTGGAAACAGCCAGCTGAAAGCCTGTTGAAATAATAAAGTAATTAGTGAAGCCGATGAAGGAATAGAAAGGTAAAAAGGAAAAGTCTTGTGTGGCCTGCTGAGGGAGACGGGAAATACATCAACATTTCCTTTACACAAGTGACAGTGACAAATATTAGAAGCAAAAAGTCCACTGCAGTCAGAAAGGACACAGAGAGAATGGAATAGTAAGATCCGTGAGGACGTTTGACAACCTTGCCAACCATGAAGCTCCCCAAGTGAATTTCGAGCTGACAGAAGAAAGCATCACAAAAGAAACAGAACAGGAGGAGCAAGGCTGTCGAGTCCACACCTTGCTGCCATGTTTTCATACCTGCTTCTTGAAATCCTAATCTTCATCCAGATTACAAAAGAGAGGCATCAGAGCAAATGGGCAATTTGTTTGTGGTGGCCTTTGAGTGTCCAGAGGAAAATCATTCCAACGATGTGCTTGTAGGCTTGTCAAAATCACTGTCAGTCTTTCCACTGACTTCAGTGAGTCTTGGTTGAAGTCCTAAAGATCAGGTCTTCTTCTCTCCCGTGTAAAACAGGTACATTCAGTCCAGAGGTGAAGAAGAGATCAGCAAGCCAGAAAGAGTGATTTGTTTCTAAGGAAGTTACATTGGCCACACAGTGGTTCTTGGATTGGCTGAGGAAGCCAAGTTGGGGCCAGACATAATGCAAGCAGGACAGTCGTCATCACCTCTTTGTCAGTAGAATGATTACTACAGGACATAGTGGTCACTATCCATGTACATGGATTCAGAAAGGACTGGCAGACTCAGAGTAGAAAAGGTCCTTGGTCTCTGGTTTACTCAATTGCCTGGATACAGCCTCTGAATCATGGAAGCCGTAAGCCACCAGCTGCTGGGAGACGACAGCAAGGTGTGGTTTGCTCTGAATTCACCCAGGTTTCGTACTTCTCTGTAAGTATCCCCTGGCCTCCTGTACTGGACGTGGAGTCAGCCTGCATAGACCCAATAAACCCGCTGTGATTAACCCGGCTGGAGTACGGAGCATTGCATCAGCCACGGTTGGGCTGTGAGCCCTTGGGATCCAACAGTGAATGGTGACTCAACAGCCAGCCCCTCAGGGCTTCAGTGCATAAGCCCTATGGGGCGTATGGAGACCATGTCCTGCTGATGCTGAATAGCTAAGACCTGTTTATCAGGACTGAACCCGTCCTGATTGTGGGAGTTGCTTTTATAGGTTTTTTCCCTTGTGGGGTAGCTCCTGGGGCACAGTGGGGTGGATGTGCCCAGGGGAGACAGGACGGTGGTACCTGGCACTGAAAAACAGCAGAAATGAATATGTGCTGCTGTTGCATGAAGGAGCAGGGAGGTACCACTGAAACACTGTGGGGCTGGGTTCAGAATGTCTGTAGGAAATTCACCACTTTCCTTTGCCAGCTCATACAAGAATAGGGTGTAGACTTCCACATGGTGCAATCTGCTCTGCAGCACTGTGACCCCAGTGACCACTGCAAAGGGGTCATGTGCCTCACCTCCCAGACATTCCCGAAGGCTGGGTTTACTGGGATTTAAACCCCTGTTGTGCGTGCTGCAGGGACTCCAGGTCGTGCAGGAGGGTTTTGGCCACCCAGCCCGGCTCCATCGAAGTTATGGCAGCTTCCAGCTCTGCTCCTCCATTTCTTGATTTAATACCTCTGCCTGTCTCTCAGGGGGACGCCAGCTTTCCTACAGCCTCTGAAAGAAGCAGATGAGGCTGGACATGGGTCTGAAATCACGAGGTTCGTTTCCTCACATGGCAGAGCAAAATTCACAGCCAGCAGAGAGTTTCCAGTGCAGCCTGGGCTGCTCTCCCAGCCGACACAGAGCAGCTGTGCAGGAATTTGCTGCTGCTCCATCCCTTGCTTGCGCTGGTGTCACCTCTCACAGCACCATCTGCCGCCTGCAGCCACCATCGCTGCAGCCTCAGAGATCCCCTGCCACTTCCAAGCCACGGTGGTTCTGCTTTGTTTCCCCACAGGGGTTCTTAGAGCGATTTGTGAAGTTCTTGGTTTTGTGCACCAAATTTTTTTATGCCAAGTTTAAAAAACAGTCCTCTTTTTTTTTTTTTGGGTAGAATCATTTAAGGTTTGTCCACCTGAAAGAAATAACTTTTATTTTTCTTTTCTTTCCTTTTTTTTTTTTCTTTGCTTTTAGCAAACAAAATCCAAAACCTTTATTTTTTTCAGGGTTTGTTTTGCATTTGACTAAGCCTCAGTATTTTCTGTGAAGAATAACTTACCTGAACATTTTTCCAGCTGAAGGAAAATATCTCAATAGAAGCTTTCCACTGTGCTTCTCAATCTGCGTTTTCCACAAGCCACCTTCAGCCTTAGGTCTGTGCGCTTGCCCTTTGCATCCACCTGTTCCTCCTGTCACGGTTTATTTGTTATTTTGCCAAGCCATCAGAAGTGGGTCCTTTTTTCCACAGATGGTTCCTTCAGAGAAGATCGTATTAGACATCTCCTGGGAAGCTGTCTGTCCTGGCTCCCCCCCTCCCCACCTCCCCCCCGGCGAGGCTGCAGGCTTTGCAGTACTTCAGGAAGGAACACAAGCTTAAAGTTACCTTTTTTAGAGCTTTTTATGATGGGTCCTTTTATGCGTGGCCCCATGTTCTGCAGCACACTGCTTTTATGGTTGCCTCCCTCACAAAACCACTTCCTGATGAGGTATCCTACTGGGATTTGGTGGATGCGTAAAACGCAGAAGTTGTCCTGCACCCCCCCAAACAGCCCCAGGACACGCAGTTCTGCATCTGCCCACAGCATCCTCTGCAGTGCCACCAGCGAGGGAAGAGCTGGGGGAGGTGGGATGAGGTGCCCCACATGCACAGGGGTGTGTTGTACCCTGGTGCAATACCTGCAACTTCATGGCTCTGACTGACTTTGTTCAGCAAGCCCAGTAGCTCTGTGGCTTTCTGACTGAACAATCTGCCAGCCCTTGGCTCCTTCCAGACCACCAGGAAGAACAGGCCATGTTCCCTGGAAGCCCCTTCCCTCTGCTTTCCAGCATGGTCCAGGAGATGTCCCCTGGCCTCAGGCATTAATGAGCTCTTTGTGTACAGTGCATAAGCAAACAGAAGTCCTGGGCTTTGGCAGATTTTCTGATTGCACTGAGTGGATAAAGATGAACTCAGTCAATAATGTTGAGTTTATACAATGGTAAAGGTGGCCAGATCTGTGTGCCTGCTGTTCTCTCCACAGCTGATGGCCTTCTGCCCAGAGACCCAGAGGTTAGTGACTGCATTGAGGCCTTTGTAGCCTTTGATGGATGCAGGGCAAAGACACCGTGGCAGAAAGTCCAGGTGGGAGCCTCCACAGCTGTGTGTTTCTGATCATGCCCTGTGTTTTGTCTTGTAGGCTAACGATTCATGCAGAGTGCCCCATGCACCTGGAGGACTTCCCAATGGATGTGCACGCTTGCCCACTGAAATTTGGGAGCTGTAAGTACCCTGATCAGCCTCCACAAGGAGGTGGGTACAGAGCTATAGAACAGTCCTTTGTGTGGCTAGTGTTTTCTAGTATTTTAGTAACAGTGTTATTAATTATTGCTAATGATAATGTGACCAAGAGTTTGTTTCTGGTATCTCATGCATGCAATTCCTACCATCATCAGAAATGGGCAGCAAGCAAATCTGTGGTCAGTTCAGTCTCACAGGATGGGTTAGACACCTATGGTTTTGCTGTAAGTTTTTAAGGGAAGTGGGAAGAGCAGCTTCCCATTACCCTCCCTGCCTTCAGTAGGCAGTGCTGCCTCTTCAGCGCTGCCTCAGCAGGACCGGCGTTGGTGGAAAACTCAAAGATGCTTTTCCTTCATGACAAGGTGATCCTGGGGGGACAGATTTGGGAAGACAGCAGTGGTATCTGCTGCTAGGTATCCTGTCCAGCTTCCCTACATCACCTCTGCCAATCTGGGGAGAGCCTGAAATCCCTGGTTGCTCTGGCTCCATGCTCCAATGGAGCTTACAAACCCCTTGCTCCTCTTCAGTCTGTCAGACAGGCTGCTCTTAAGTAAAAGGCTTGGAAACTCTGGGAAGCTCAGTCCCAACACCCAAGGGTCCTGGTTTAGGGAAGATTTGCAGGCTGCTGGTGAGTTGAAAGCCTCAGGCTTGCAGTTGCTCATCTGCCTGGGCTTTCCATACCCTGCCTAGGAACAAGTTCCCTCTTCTCTCCCGTTTGCAAGTTAAATTTCATTTGGTTTTGTTCCTAAAGTGAGTGGGAACCAAATTCTAAGTCACCGGTTCACCATAATGTGGAAATAAATTTTGTAGTCCCGCTCTGCCTGGAGTCTCCTCCAGGTCCAACAAACTGAGCACCACTCTGAGTCTATGTTTGCGTTAGATGGAAGAGTTACCCACCTCCAACTAACAAATGAGCCCCCACAAGTAATCTCCCTTTTGGACTCTAAGAAAACAGAGAAATCACAACCTTTCTAAACTGATACTTCCATCCTGGAGCCATTTGGGAGTTAACTAAGGACAAAGTTGAAAAGTTTGATTGGCACCAGAAGAAATCATGTTTATCATGTACATCTGCTCCTCTGCCTCATGGACAAAATGCATCCGTGAAACCGGATTATTCAAAACTACTAAAATAAAGTTATTTCTAACAGCTAATTAAATGTAGAACTCATTGCCACAAGATATCACTAAGGCCAGTAAAATAGCAAGCCTTAGAGAAGGATGAATTATTAATGTTAATTGACCTTGTGAGGAGGGATATAAAATCTCATTCCTCAGGGCTAAACTCTGGGATTATTACAAGCCTTACAGGAAGGCAGATTACTCCACATCTAATTGCTTATAATGTTTGTTGGTGAGGAAGAGAGATTAATGTGCGTAATTCTGCTGGAAGACCCTTTGGGGTTCTTCTGGGTATTTTTACTGATTTGGCCTCTGAATGATGAGAGTTTTGACACAAGCAGCTCAGAGAGCTGCCCCTGATTAATATTAGTATGGCTCTTTCTAAAGCACCCATCCGCATAGCATCTGAGCTCACCTCTCCTGTGTTGGAATAGGATTAAACTAGTGTTTGCACCAAAAAGCTGTCAACAGCTGGAAGCTGCTCATTTGCAAGAAGCTTAGAGTGCGTTAGATTTGTAAGTAGAAGGACAATGCCAGGGCCATACACATGCTGTTCAAAGGATAGCCGAATTTGCCTCAGCGACTACCTTTCAGTGATGCCCACAACCTGAATGGCTCATCAGTGGCCTCCTGTCCCTGTGCCACCATGGCAGCCACTCAAAGAGGGAAGGCAGAGAGCTCGCAGGAAAAGTAAGAGCATCAGGCATTTCAGATAGCTTCAGCTGCCCACCCGCATCATTCGTTGGACCAAGGGCAGTGAAGGTGATAGGCTTTACCTATCACCATGCTCCCTAGAAGATGGATGTACGCAGCAGAGAACAACTGTTTCTAAGCCAGTCATAGGACATTTGTACATTTGTCTGAGAATAGGCTAGCAGAAGATGTTGCTGAAGTTACCAGCTCCACTAAATGTCAAAGAGCTGTCCTTGTTTGGATTGGACTAGACTGCATTGCAAGCAAGGCATTGAGCAGAACCAAAACAGCTTCATGGCATTAAATATGTTTCAAGCATCCATGCCATGCCTATATGACACCAGATACGTTTCTGTCCCAGATGACCAGATATGTAGACAACTGTGTTTTCAGGGATGATGGCAATGAAACTGTGGGCAAGTGGCGGTGGGTGAACTGTGACTGCTAAAGCAGAAGGTGCTCCCCATCAAGGCAGAAGAGCATTGGCAGAGCTGTACAAAGCTAAGCCTGAAGGAGGATGGAGGTCTCCAGAAGCATGTTGAGAGCTGGAAGGAGGGGTTGAAAAAGCAGAATGTTGCACATTGGGTGAGAGGTGCCAGCCTGCATCAGAAGTGCTTAGGCAGCACACTGGCGTGCTGAGAAACAGTGACTGACCATCAAAACCACTCCCCCACTTTGCATAGCGGCTGCTTAGTATTTAACAGGTTTGCCAAAACCTACAGTGCAGGGATAACAGTAGTTGTTTTAAAAAGATCAGAGAAATCTGGTTGTCTCAGGACACAATCTTCCACAAAGCAGGAGCTGAGACATTAGTGTAGTAGACCTGACCCATTGCTTGACCTGACCCCACCCAAAGAATTCTTTAATGTCTTAATAGGAGAAACTCGTTGTAAAAATGAATTGAAGACTTGTTTTAGTGAACTTTGTTCTTGCCTAAAAAACTGGTGCAGAGTGGGTATGGACAGGAAGCTTGGGCATTATGGGGAGAAGTAGCTCCTAGTAGAGTCTGGAGAGACTCAGTTTCTGGATACCATAGAACTGGCAAAACCAAGAGTGTGTGGGTGCTCTTGGGAAAGGGAGTGGCTATGAGGACAACCAGGCGTTTGGTCACAAAGGCTCGTGAAGGTGATGGTGACTGTGTGTGTTAGAGGGAGGTGTTCGCATATGGGGAGTTGGGCAGGTGGGATAGAGAGGAGAATTTGCAAGCCCCTGGAAGGATGCCTGGGCCCTGAGCCCAGCGCTACCCCATGCAGCAGTCTAGCGGCACCTGCCTGCTGTTTCTCTTGCAATGTGCAGGCAGGCTTTTCTCAGCACTGCCCTCCCTTGCTGCCTGGCAGATTGGCCTGGAGGCTGGCAAACACAGGGTCATGCAGGGGAAAAAGCATCTTAGTGGGAGGGCACACCACCTCCAAAGCTAAGAGGCTTGGAGACGGTTGTTTCTGAGTGAGGGTAAAGATTTTTAACTTTTTCTCCTTACCCTAAAATTCAACACCATTTGCCTTTAGCCTTTCTCACCAGCTGCTGGCGGCATGACTCTCCCAGTCCCTGGCATGGCAGGGCTGTGGCCGTCCTGCTGCCCCAGCAGTCTGCTGGTCTGGACGCCTTCTTATCTTGTCTCTGCTTGCAGCCAGCCCTTGCAGAGTCAGCATGTCAAGGGGACAGTGTGTCTCTCAATGACAGTGCTCTGCCCCCTCTTCCAGCTCCCTTCCGAAAACCCCAGCTCCCTTTTGCTCATTTGATTTAACAGTTGCTGAACTGCCTTGGTCTCTGGCCATGCTTGGCTGTGCTCAGCCATGTGGCTTTGAGGAACGCACAGCAGGGATTAATTTGGCTACAGGCTAATTTTGGTATATTTTAGGTCAGGCAGAAGCACAAACCTCATTCTTCTTTTTCCTCCGCAGATGCCTACACAAAGACAGAGGTGATCTACACCTGGACTCTGGGGAAGGATAAATCAGTGGAAGTAGCGAAGGGTGGATCTCGCCTGAACCAGTATGACCTGCTGGGCCATGTTGTTGGGACAGAGATGGTTCGATCCAGCACAGGTAGTTGTGGGACCACGATGCAATGCAAGGGCTGAGCACACTGTCAGACGAGATGGACCCATGGGCTTTGAATGCCACGATTTGGCATAATTATAGAGGCAGTACCTGTAGGCAGTGAGCACCACAGTACTTCCCAAGCCACATGCTGTTGGAGAATATGGCTGGGGACATCTGGAGCAGTCACCAACAGGCAGTAAAGGGTTTAGCTTTTAGAGGTTTCCACTGAAAGAGCTTTATCGCCCATACCATCTAGAAAACTGATTTCAAGCATCTAAAAATGATCTGTTGTATGGAAAATTTGCCCCACCTTGCGCAGCTGGTTCTTGATACTGTGGGTTCCTTTGTCTTGGATCCCTTTCCAGTCCCTCAGGAGAGCATTGTGGGCAGGGGAGGCAAATGCAACATAATGTTCAGTGTGATTTTCACTGCATATGCTTACACAAATATTATCATAGCTAATAGAAGATTATCCCAAACAAATGTTTCCTCTCATTAATGACCAATATTAATCATCTTTCTTTCCCATCTGCTGCTCCTCCCTTCCCCTCTGAATCCAGGTACTGATGGCTTCTGTTATCTCATGTGTGTCTCTTATCTTTCTTTTTTTCTTTTCTTTTTTTTTTTTTTCCTTCTGTATGCACCAGTAGTTCTCTCATTTGAGGATATTTCCTCTCTGGTGCACTTGATTTTAATAGTGTCTGTCTGTAACAACTCATATCACCTCCCTTGGGGACATGTGGGGAGTCCAGGGAACTAAATGTCATAATATCTGGCCCATCTCTCTACTTGAGTTGTAGTAAAACGTACAGATGAATAACCTGAAGTGGCAAGTAAGCTGCTAAAGGCTCCTGTGTGTAATGATTTAGCAGAGCCACGCTCACAACAAAAAGGCACAATAATCCAACAAAATATCCAAAGCTTTGAGTGGAGGAATAGGGCATTGAGGGAAAACAGGGACAGCTGCTTCTTTGGTTTACAGCCCAGACCTTTAACGACAGAACTTGCCCTGATTTTTGAGATGGTTACAGTGAGGAAAGGTGGAATGTTTTCAGGATTGTCAGAGAAAATAAAATCCTTTGTCCTGAAATCCTACTGAAGAACTGTTAGGGTCTCTCTAGGCTTAAGGGAACTTACCCACAACGTGGCTCCCTAGGCTGGAGCAGAAAAGGGATAGAAGTTGGGTCGGGAGAGACCCCCAGAGGTGTCTTGTGCCTGGGGCGAAACAGGGAAAGCCTATTGCCCGGTTGTTTATTGGCTTTGATTTGCCTTTGTCCCACAGCCGTTTTGTAGTGAATTACAGAAATCTCCAGAGAAGTGTTTTGTGTGTGCATGTGCAGGACATGCAAAGCCAGGGCCAACAGTGTGCATCCCTCCTTCGCACAGCTGTCAGGGTGGCCTGAAGTCCTGTAAGATACCAGGGCATGCCAGCCAGTAACAATATGACACACATGCTGCAATTTCATCTAAGAACTTGAAAGTTTGTTCAGGACAGGTCTTCAGTGGCTCAGCATCTCTAACCAGCTGTCTCTGCAGGGGAGTATGTCGTCATGACCACACACTTCCACCTCAAGAGGAAGATCGGGTACTTTGTGATCCAGACCTACCTACCCTGCATTATGACAGTCATCCTGTCCCAGGTCTCCTTCTGGCTTAACAGGGAGTCCGTTCCTGCCCGAACAGTTTTTGGTGAGTGTGGGAGCACGGGGGCATCCTCTCAGGTCGGGGGAGAAAGGCACCACAAATGACGGAAAATAGACTGAGCATCAGAGCTGGTCTTCTCCAGGCCTTGACCGGCACCAGTGCAGCTGCTGGCCATTTCCCAGAATAGCTCCCAGTGTCTTGCCAGTGCCCCTGCTTCCATTGAATCACTGCAAAAATACTCCTGTCCATGTTTCTGCTACAAGCCAAGCCATAAATATTAACAGCAATCAAGGTATTGATCATCTGATTATATGCATTTGGCTGTGTCTGCTTATCTATACTGGCTTTTGAGTTGAGGAGAGGATAGGTACATGGGGAGGCATTTAAAGCTCTACCTTTGAAATTGCTAATGTGCCCCTGGTCAGAGCTCATAACATAACAAGTTCCTGGGCTGAGGCAGTATAACTGCATGGTAAATATATGGTTATTATTGTCTTCAGCTGGTTTCAGATCCTCTCTCTGAGGCAAAGTGTCAGGCTGGCATTGCACATATATTAATAGCTTTTACAAACATTTAATTGCTTTGTGCTTTCCTGCCAAGACCTTTAGTTCAGGATCTATACACACATGCTCACAGACCAGGTGTGATGCTGCAGGATTGTATTTCCTGGAAATAACAGTGCCCAGCAGGTACCACTTAACAGAGAGTATATTGGACAACAGTCACTAAGCAGAGAGGGGCTATATGGCACCACCTGCTCGTGTTTTGGAATAAGACAGAAAATGGTGTGGTTTCAAAGATCATGGAGCATTTTCTCTGTAGCAAGGGTCATGATAGAAATACTCCCACAAACCCAACAGGGCTGACATCCTCCTTTTCGGACCCTCTCTGCAGGCCTGTGCTGTGGACTGGAACAGGATGCAGGGAGGGTCACAGGTGGTTCTGCATCCTCCTAAATGAACTAGAAGGGAATCATTATGATTTTTGTGTTCACTGGGGCTTGTGAAATGTAGATCATGAACAAGCTTCAAAATTTACAGTTGACCCCAGCTTCTCCCCATTAGCACTAGGTTGCCTTCTCTTCCCCGGTGATGCAAATCCTACAGCAATCCCCAGGGTTGAGTGCAGCTGTGGGGAGCTGGGCGGTTATTATGACCAAACTGGTTTGCATGATCCAGATTGCAAGAGCTGCACTGAACAGTGATAACAGTGAAGAAGAGGGGGTACAGTCCCTTAGCACCCACTTTTTGGTGTTTTCATCCAGCAGAATGGAAAGGGGGTCTCAGACAGAAATCACGTGGAAAATAGGACCAGCTCAGGCATATAGAGAGTCATTGATGAACTTTCCTTACTCATCTATTTGTGAATCATTTGCAACTAAACCCCACAGAGTGCACACCCAGACCCCATGTGAGTCCATGCCCCAGGTGGGCTCTTACATTTGCATCGGTTCTAGAGTGTCTCTGCACTTCCGACACTGGGGGCGAGCCCTTCTCTGAGGATATTTGATTCCCTCCTATGTTATCCTGAGATTTGCAATTAGACAGGTTTCCTCGAGTAGCAGCTCAGATTGAGCAGGAAAGAGCTGACTGAAAAATTAAAACCTATCTTTGTGAAAAATGTCTTTGCTCCCAAGTAGCCTTGCTTTCCTATTAAGAAAATAATGAGAACTCCAATTGTTTATTCCTTTTTTTTTTGCCCCTCAGAAAGTATTGTCAACAATATTACTGAAACTTTTCAATTACCAGGAGTATGGCTTAAGGGAAGTGAAAATTAGTCAATATTTTTATAATGTTTTTAATGCCTTTTTAATTGAAAAGCACATTATTGGGGAAAATGGATAGCAATGGTTTCTTGCTTTAATGAAAAAAGCTTTAAAAGGCATTTTGCAACAGATCATTTTTTTAAGATAAATCATAGTGACACTCATTCTGAGAGCTTGGGCCACTGATGGGTGCCTGGCCATGCCAGCAGGACCCAGGATCCCAGGTGTCCATCCATGCAGGTCACAAGACACTATTTCCAAAATATTGAGAGAACCACATTGGATGAGTGGCCAGTTTCTGGTCCTCCATGAAGTTTCCAACCATCTAGCTGTCCCTTATACTGTTGTTTTATTATTTTTATTTCATTGCAAAAGCAACCAGAGGCTTCTTCATGGCATATTCTACATGAGAGAGCTGGGTCTAGCATCACGCAACTTACCCTACTAGCAGACGAGGAATTGAATGTGGGTGCCTACCTATGAGCTAGGACTCTTTTATAGTTAGCAGAAATCTAGTCGATGGAGTTTGGGGAATATTAATCTCATCCTAATGCAGATGTTTGCCATTGATTATATGAATTGGAGATACTCAAAACTGAACCAGAGAAGGCCCTGAGCAACCTGAAGTTGGCCCTGATTCGAGCAGGGGTTGACAAGCTGACTTCCCTTTCAATCTGGACTGTTCCGTTATTCTATGAATTGCACCACGGACTTGTGCTGGGTAAGACTCCCTTAATTACAGCAGAAATGTGGGCCACATGGCCTAGAGGACGGCTCCTAAATTTACATGATGGAAATGCCAACTGTGTGGTTTGAGGAGAAACTGGGTGGGTACGAGTGCATGGTCTCACACCATCCTTGTCTCCTGCTGTGTTTCCACAGGTGTCACCACCGTCCTCACCATGACCACACTAAGCATCAGCGCAAGAAACTCGTTACCTAAAGTGGCGTACGCGACGGCCATGGACTGGTTCATAGCCGTCTGTTACGCCTTTGTGTTTTCTGCGCTGATCGAATTTGCCACCGTCAACTACTTCACCAAGCGCAGCTGGGCTTGGGATGGCAAGAAGGTGCTGGAGGCCCAAGAGATGAAGGTCAGCCCTGTGGCCAAGGCCAGGGAAGAGGGGGCGGTGAAGAAACGCTGCACGAGAGAGCTGCACCGGGGCCAGGAGTGGGTAACATGCAGCCCCGCAGCACTCCGGGAGGCTGGATGCTACTTACTGGGGTCCCCAGCTCAGGTCTCGACTGGAGCGGTTCTTGACGGTCAAGGGAGGAAGGGCTTGGAGGGCTGGTCACTGTGCTTAGCTGGAGAAAATCACCCAGGCTTGACTACTCACTTTTCCCTCTGTCCTTCTGCATGACCATTTGCCAGTGGAAACGTGAATGCATGCATTTTTTGGTCTTGCTCCACCAGTGGTCTCCTTGCTCCTTTCTTCTCCCTCCAACCCATAAATGCCCCACTCCATGTTGCTAGCATGCGACACAAACCCAAATATGCCACGGGATGCCAGCCTCGCCAGTGGAGACAGTCCCACTCTGCTGTGTCCCCTGCAGCTGCTATCCCCAACTGGTCTCCCCTGGCATGGGCAAGCAATGTGGAGGTCTAACGCTCGTGCTGTTGCCCACAGCTGCTGACAGCTGCTGCTTTGTAAGCTCGGGCCAAGAGGGTGGGTGGGAAGCAAGCAATGAGAAACAGCAACTGGCAGTAAATTAGTGCCTGGCATCACCCACGTTTTCCCTTCTCGCTCGGGATCAGCCTCTCTGGCAGCTTCCTTCCTGACAGCCACCGCTATCCCTGCTCGTGCCCCCTCCCTCCTAACTGATTTAATCTCGGCTGTGCAGAGAAATCGCTTACTGTAGCATGCTGCTCCTTGTTTATATTTATTGAATCAATTTGAAAATCAGCTTTGTTCTTGGTTCTGGAGCCTTTATATTTTACTCCTTTGCATTTTAATGTGTTGTTTAAAATTGTGGGGCTGTATGCAAATACCTGGCAGAATTGCAGTAACTTTTGGGAAGACAACAGCCAGTTATCTCTCTGGTATGGAGGTCAAAGCAGGAGAACAGAGGCCTTATGGAGAACCACAGCCATCACTGGGTGTTGAATGCCTCTCTCTTGTATTTCTTGCACTCTCTCTCTCTGTTTGCTTTTGCAGCTGTGGTCTGAGCAACAGACTTATGGCAGAAAGGCTCCAGAGGAGGCCAGTTGATGGTCTTCCACTTCCATCATGAATAATGCTAATCTGGCCTCTAGAGATGAGAGAAGCCTTTCCCAGGTCATTGGCATGACTGAAGGATCAGAACAGGTCCTCAATGCAACCATGTCCCTTTTAGGGATGGGCAAATCAGCACAGGATTCACACAATTATGTGAACTGGGCAGAGCCAAAAAAGCAAAGGCTCAAAAGCTTCAGTTTGTCATAGAAGCATCATGCTCCTTAATTTATTCATTGACCCAGCACTGCAAGACTAACAGTGCTGAAACAATAGGGTAAGAGCACGCAGAATGTTTGCGCATGTGGTAATCAAACAAAAAAACAAAGCAGGACCAGGAATGTTTCAGAGGGAGTGCTCTTCGTGAGTTTGCTGCAATTGGTATCAGGCTGGAGAATCAGGAAGGACTCTAAATTTGTGGATGCTTTGTCAAGCCAACCCTGATCTTTATCTTAGAAGGCTAACCCACTCCCAGTCTCTGCAGCTCAGAGAACTCCCTGAAGAGTGGTGGGCTTTCAGGGAGCTTGGGAATATGATGTGTCACCCTATTTGCTTTTCATCTTTATTCCACTGAATATTTCCAAGCAGTGAATTTGCTACGCAATGAAGGTGCCTCACTGGCTCAGTTTCAGCCTTTAATTAGCTCTTCTTGAAACAATTGACAAGCCAGGTGGTTGAAACCACAAAAGCAAGAGGAGGCAGAAGGATAACTATTGGCATTTTAAAGTGTTTGTACCAGGAGTAAAACTACCAGTGACAAGCCCAGGCTGAGCCCTGGTCTCTGGAGAGCCTTTCCCCAGCCAAAAAGAACACTCTTTATTGATGTGATGGCAAGGGGCCTCACTCCAGGTTTGATTGTTTCCTTGCATGAACATGAAAAGAAAAATCAATAAGCATCAGCCCTTCCCTCAATTCAAATGTAGGCAGCAGCAATGCCTCCCATTCCGATTGAAAGAAATCACTACCTTGCAAAAGCTGCTGGTTGCTGACAGGCACTCTCAGCGTGTTCACTCTCTCAGGGCTGGTTCCATTCCTTCTTTCTCCCCTTCAGCCAACCCATCAGTTTAGATTGGAACAGAGCATTTTTTCAGGTAGAATCTAACATGATGGGCTGATCTTGGTGAATCCCTGATCTCTGCGTCATAAATGATCATGATGATGTTCTGGCTATAGCCGCAGTTGGGTTCTGGTTCTAGCTGGGAGCTACTCTGCACGTTCTCTGCAGTTTTCCTCTAATAAAAGACAGGCAGGTATTACCATAGATGTCACCAAAAACTCCCTTCAGCGTGCACTCTGATAAGATTTGACTAGTGCTTCTTGGACCCCAAAATTTTCCAAGCCTTTCCTGCCTGCCACCAGTAATCGCTAATTGTGGATGAAGGATTTCCTCTCTTTTTGTGTGGCAGACTGGCTGCAACCAACCTAGAGGTGCAGATCAAATTGGAAAGAGGTATCTGGATCCAATGTGGAAAACTTGTTAGTAAAGATGATTTTTAAAAAACATCATCAGGAGGAAGGTGGGAGACGCTAGGAGTTGGGGAGGAGTGAGAGGCCAAAGAGACTGAAAGATGAGTGGTTTCAGTAGCCAGCAAAGCTCCCTATCTCCAGCATCCTCAAAATATCTTGTTAAAAAGATCCACTTCAGGACAGAAGGGCTGTGTCTCAACAGAGTGAGATCCATTGCATCCCATCCATCCCAACCATAGGGATGGCCATATCTGGAGCCAACAAAGTCACTTCCTGAGCGGCTGTTACAGTGAGGATCCGGAGAGACAACCATTAATGGTGACTTTACCACTAGGAAACTCATGAAGACTGCAAGGATGACATTTACCAGGGAGTTCCCTGCAAAAAGGGATGGAAGATGTTTTGGATATTTGGAAGACGCTTACTTAAACCCACTTCCACCTGCAACGCAATATCTATGCATAAAATCAGATTTAGCTCTGTATCTGTGTTTGTATGACATTGCCCTGAAATCCTGGGTGGCAAGAAGCAATAAAAACAATACAAGTAGCTGCAGTCAGACACATGAGAACAAGGAAGAACACACTTTGGATGGAGGAATAGTCCTGGATCTTTACCCTTCTCATTCTTAAGACAATAATCCTGTAGTGCATGGTGAGAAGGTTAGATCCAGGCTTTTTATGTACTTTCCACAGTAGAAGAGAAAGCAAAAAGCATCCTCCAAACCTCTCTGTTGATATGATCATCATAGTTTTCTTTCTTGTATTTTGGAAGTGACAGGCGTGCTCGCTATTTGCTCTAGATGCCTTTTCCACTGACTGAGTAAAGCCTAGCTTTTTGTCCAACCTACTCTTCAGCAATTCTGAAGTTTTCCCCTTGATCCAGGTCACTTGGGAATCATTCTTCCTTCTTTGTTTCTTTCCATCTGTGGCATCTTTATTTCAATCCCTTCCTTGACAACAGAGAGGAACTAGAACTAACCTTGACACGCCACCATTTTCAACCAGTCTGAAGTCTTACAGACTCACAGGGTGGTTCAGACCCATCTCTTTGTTTTCTGCCCCACTATGGTAAATACATTTTTGCTGGGACTTTTCCTTGCTGACCATGCTCCGCACTCCATGTCACCTTTATCCTACTGCACTTGCAATCTCCTGTAGCTCTCCATAGCACTGCAAGTGATTTATGTTCTCAGCATCTTCGCTAGAGTCCATGTATCATTCTTTGACAACATTTCACCCTCTTTCTCTCAACACTATCTGCATGGTGTGTTGGGCGGATTACTGACTCCATCCAACCCCTGAGTCTTTGTCTGGTGATCCAAAGAGCATAAGATCATTGGGCTCAGTCCCACATAATCTGAATGAAGAGACGGGAGGGATGAGTGATGCCAAAGGTTACACCAGCAGCTGACAGTAACCTGGCATTGACATTGCCTGCTTGTTAATGCAAGATTGCATTGTTCGGAGCCTTTGGCTCTGCTCAGGGTACAGGCGTCTCAGTATAAAACACTTTGCTGCTATTCTCTGGTAGGATCAAGTCTCTGGCACGCTGCAGAGGGGAACTCTGGCTGGCATGAGAAAGGAGTGGCATGTTTGCTGGAACAGCAGCTGCAGTTGCTGGGCTTTGAATTATAGGATACAAGTATGTCAGAGACTAGAGCTGTTTGGAGGTCATTAAAGTGACTTTTCTCTAGAATGGCAAGTGGCAGAGACCTTGCATTTCTCAAGTACTGCAGATATTAGTGATGGTGACCTTCAGAGTGGCCTGTCAGAGGGATAGTGCTTCCAACCCAAATTTCTAGCCAAGGAGCAGGTGCAGAGAAATAAATCTGCAGCAGATCATAGAACCAGTAGTTCCCATAATTTAGAGGTTCAGCTGTTAGCTCCTCAACAGAGAGGCTTGAAGACAAGAATATTTAACAAAAATGCTATTATTTTCCAGTATGCGTGTTGTGGAAGAACTTGTCAGACTGCAACATCCAGGGAATATATTTATCTCTAGACCAGCTTTCACGGCTTTTCCCTCAGGAGAGCAGTGCAGGGACAGCTTTGTGCAGGGGTGCAGTCTCCCTGTGCCCAAACTAGGCCATAAAGGCAGGAATTGCTTTGCAACATAGATGTTTTAAATAGGACAAGTTTTCAAAGCAAGTGTGGGGTTTCCTCCTGTTTTCCCCCTCTTTCCTTCTGTTTCAGTAGGACGTGGAACTCCTCACAGGTAAAGGTGCAGGGGGAAGACTGGGTGCTACTTTGCAGCTGACAGCAATAAGCACATTTTGCTTTGTTTGATTGTTAAAATCTTGCCTGAAACAGTTTTTTATAAAGCACAGCCTAGTAAGCTTCAGGCTGAACCATTTCTCCTGACATCTCAGGAGCAGAGCACATTTGGAGCACACACATGTGCATTGGTGTAGGCAGTGTGTGCTCTGAGTGCTTCCCAAAGGCTACCCAGGCTCCCAGCTCTGACCAGGGAGACCTGCCCCACAGCCAGCTGGAAAAAGGCCCTGGCTATAGGCTCCCAAGCCTCTGCACTACCTGAACAGCCTGATCTGAGGTCCAGAGAAGCCCAAGTTGATGCCTGGGGGCTCTGGATCACACTGACAGGAGCAGTAGCTTGCTATCACCACCTAGAGCATTCATATTTGCCTGACTTTCCTCCATTTCAGCCTGCTGTTTTCAGATGCCTTTGGCCAGGCAAGACAGATCCACTTTGCAAGCTCTGGGGCAGAAAAGCTAGCCAGGTTGAAAGTGTCATGTCACTTGTAGTCATTTTATTCCTGAAACGAGTAACGTGGCTAATTAATACTAAAATAATCAGAGTGCACTTCAAATTAGATTCTGTGAACAACAATCTGTTTTTCATTTCATTACTGATTATTAATTATTTTATTACCTCCTGTAGCTGTGTTAATAAGTAATCATACTTAAACGTATTTAAATGTTTTAGAAGGTGAAACATCTTTAGTCCTTTATTTGCTTCTTGTCAGCTCTTTAGTAGGAAAAGTTCACCTGCTATGCAGGGGGTACAAGTTAACATGGCTCTAATGATTGCAGAAATCAGTCGCTCAGTTAATCATTAAAGATCATAACACCCTCTCCCATAAAAGATTATGAATATGGTCTGATCAGTGGTTTAGTCTGATCTGGAGTCTGAAGACATTTAGACCTCCTTCTAACAGCAAGTTAATTTCTATAATTGCTGGCATTATTATGAGGCTGCAGGCCTGGCTATGATGTTATTGGAGAGGGGTTTAAAGATTGCACAGAAGTCTGCTTTTAGTGTCCCTCTGAAAATCACTGTGGAAAATTCATTTCCTAAGGTAGCCAGAAATATCCGTGGTGATTGTGGACACATTTAAAATGGAAGTACAGCATGAAAGCTAAAGCCCTTGGAGTATCTCTGCGGAGCAGACTGGGCAAATCTGGCCTTTCCAGCTCCCAGTGCTATCCAGCAATGCTGCCTGCTACCAATTTCCAGGGTAGGGTGGGGGGATGAACAGGTCCTGCTGGCTGCACACTCTTCCCCTTCTCCTAACGGTCACGTTGTATATGGTTCCCTCACATGTACATGCAAGACCGTGCCAAGCACCCCTGGGAAATGCCTGGATGTGCCTTACCTTGTGTTTCAGTTGCTTTTGAATAGAAAATGAGATCCAAAGTCACACCTTGTTCTGAGTTTAGATATTAGATTCCCACCATGAGTCATTGCTGTGTCTAATACTGGCTCTTGGTGTGTAATTACAGTGGACACCGCATGGAGTACATGAGTGCTGGGACGTGCAGGGTGCCTGATGTCTGCATATGAGTAGATTTCATTCAATGGGCTTCTCCTGGTAGACCTGGATTGCTTTATACAATATGGTCTATGGTGCAGCTGGTCTCAGCAACAGGAAGATCCCCAAGAGTGGGGGCAACACCTATCATGACTTCCTAGCTTCATTTTCCTGTCCACTCATCTTCATTAACATCTGAACTCTCTGTCTTCAGCATCTTCCATCATCCTTCAGTACATCATGTCTGACACGTAAGTGCCTCTTTTGCCATTTGCTGTGCAAGGACTCCTCACTTCAGCCTGGACAGCATGGCTGTCCCTGGAGCCTTGTGGGAGGGGTGCATTTATCTCCCTTGATTTGCAGCAACCCCTAGATATGAAGGCAAGATGAAAGGCTTCCCTCTGCCCTATAGTGGCGTGTTGAACAATCTTGAAATCCAGGGCTAGTGCAAGTGCCTTCCATCTGTTCTGTATCTTACCTGGGTAGGTCGAGAGGGGCTCTAAAGGGTCCCAGAGGCATTTTGGACATCAGGATGTTAAATTGTGAGGTATTCCTGTGAGGTATTCAGGGCACTGAGGCAGTGTATGATAGGGCCTTGTAATATGGTGCAAAAATACTGCGACGCTGTCACCCACATTCTTAAAGCCACTGTCTTTCTGCTACAAAAAAAAAAAATAGAACTATAATAGAACTATAATACTCTGTGATGTCTCCTCCTCTCATCTGACCCAGGCCAGCAAAGCAGAAGATCAAGTTCTTCCCCCAGGATGACCACATTCTTTTCTAAAGACTACATTCCGTCATCACCTCTCCATGGCTGAACCTTACATGCAACAGATAACACTGCCCAGTTGTGAGAGAAACCAAGGAGTCTGTATGGTTTGAGCCTGCATTCACTTATACTGACCTGGCAATACACAATAGACCTGGCAGCACTCGGCCAATCAAGGCCAATCACCCATCTGGGGCAGCTACTGTCCGAGTGCAGCTGCACACACCTTTTTATACTACTACTCTGATCTAAGGGTCTGCAAGGAGGCTACAAACCCAGCTATGTGGCTATAACCCAGTTATTTGACTTGCAGCAAGGCCTAGCTGCCAGGCCAGGACTTCTTTGTGCTAAGTGCTGCATGCCAGGCTTACACGACGTAGCTAGTCCAGCACGTCCTTATGATTCAGCAGCCCTCAAGTGGCAGATGTCGTGGGTTCTGGCCATCTTCTCACCACATCTTCCTTCCCTTCCACAATGCCTTCTTCTTGGTCTCTTGCTCCTCGCACCCTTTTCCATCTTCTCATCCGGGCAAGCAGGTAAACTCAGAGGCCAAAATGTTCTCCATGCAATTCTACAGTCACTTCATCTCTATTATGTTTTTTTCTTCCACCTTCCCTAGAAAAAAGAGCCAGTGGCACTAGCGAAGAAAACCAACAACACCTACAACATTGTTGGCACCACATATGCCCTCAACATTGCCAAGGACCCCGGCCTGCCCACCATCTCCAAGAGTGCTGCTGCCACTGCTACTGCCACCAACGTACCCCCCAAGATGCCCCGCATAGAGGAGAAGCTCCCAGAGAGTAAGAAGACATACAACAGCGTCAGCAAGGTAGACAAGATGTCCCGCATCGTCTTTCCAGTCCTCTTTGCCATTTTCAACTTAGTCTACTGGGCCACATACGTAAACCGGGAGTCAGCTATCAAGGGAATGATCCCCAAACAATAAAACCGGTCACACAAACCTTCCATCAGTGAGCACCATCCAGGCAGGAATTCTCCAGGGCTTTCTTCCTTCCTGTTTTGTTTAATTATTACTGTTCATTTGATATTATTATTAGATTGTTCTTTTATAATGTAAACAAAACTGTGATTTTAATTTAATCCCGTATAGTTTCATTTTACTTTGTCTCTGATGATGAAAGGAAAAAAAAAGGATCATAACAAGTTGTGCCTCTAACATCGTGAGTCTGATGTCCCCCATCTGTCCAAGTCACCCTGTGCTTCTATCTCTCCTCCGCCACCTCCTGCCATTCCCACAGTCTGCATGCCACTGCCATTCCATGCTCCGCTCTGCTGGGGGCTTCTGCTGCAGTCCTCCCCCCTCCTTCTCTTCTGCAATGGACTGCCCTAGCATGGTGGATGCTCCTGGTGGCCTGGGCTCAAGGATGTGGAGGCCTCCAGAGTTAGTCAGTCAGCTGCTCTTCAGTGCCTGCCGCTTTGTGCTAGGTGGTACTCCCTGGGCTGAGGATGCAGGTGAGCTGGCTGTTGAGGGAGCGGTGTGGTATGGGCTAGCTTGTAGCCCAATGCCTACTGGAGGTGAACCCACTGCTGCTGTGGTCAGTGGAGCCATTGCAGGGGTGGAACAGGGTGGCAGCATCTTGTAGGTATCTACAGGCCTTCTTCCTCTATGTCTTCACTAAACCCAGCTGCTGGTTTCCTCCGTGTCTCTCCCCAGACAAGAACAGGTGAGAAAGGTCTTATCTGTCTGCCATCCTGCACTCTTGGGGCAATTCATGTTAGAGGGTGGGGTTGTTCCTACCAGAGAAATAATTTTTCTGAGGGTCAGTCAGGAAGTCAAGACAGGAGCTTTATAATGCCTTGGAGGAGATAGTAGCTGTGAGGCCGCATGCATTCAGCATCAGGACTGGAAGCCATAGAGTTCGTGTTCAGATGGATGGTTTATCACTTTCTCTTGGCCCCATCCACTTGTCCTTCTTGGCATCTCTGCTCTGTCCCAGCCCCTTCTTCCAGCTCCCCATTCATCTTCCTTCGGCTACTCAGCAGCCCGCAGTAGTATCTCACTGCTCACGGAGGGATTTAGGCAGAGAAGCCCCTACCTCTCACGTAAGCTACACTGACGGGGAGGAGCACAGCCTGGGGAAGTCCAGCTCATGCTGCATCCCTGCTCCGGTGCACCAGAGCAGCAGCGATGTTGGTTCAGGCCAGCTCAGGTGCAGGCTGTTTCCTGTGGGACACACTAGGGGCCACTCTGCCCACCTGTGGGGGTGAGTCAGGGGACAGTCGGTCCCCAAGTACCTCCCTGCCCATGAGCATCCTCAGCACCATGGGAGAACAGCAGAAGGGGCTCTTTGAAGCAGCAGGGTGATACTGCTATCCCGGAGAACCATGTGAGCCAGGTGCCATCCCACAATGCCACTGAGATAAGACCCCACTCTAACGCCTACACACTCTTCCAAGGAAAGCCCTCCAGTGCCTTGGAGAGAGGCTTTTTCTCCCTTCCCAGCCACCACAGCCAAGGACCCAAACCAGTGGTTGTCCCCTTCCCAGAAGCAGCACAAGATGGTGGCATCCAAGCCATCTGTCCCCCCTCCCTGGTGTCTGGACCCATGGACACACTGTCCTGCTACAAGGAAGCTCATCCGGTGCCTGGTGAGTTCTCGTCCCCAGCCTGTGGGCAGCACTGATCTGCCAGAAGCCCTGCTCCCAGGGTGGGATGCACCACCTCTTTCTTAGGCCTCCTTCTGACCCTCCAGCTGCACCCCTTGAGCTGCCCCCAGCACATTTCAGGTGCATGCAGCCAGACTGAGGCCCCAGCACCCCAAGGTGATGTCTTCAGCATTGCTTTGAGCCACTGTGCCAAGCTCAGTTTCCCCCTGCCCATGCAGGAGCGGGGCTGAGCACAAGGCACAGGATTTGCCCCACCTGGAATATCCATGGAGAAAGCAGGACGGAGCGGGGAAGGCCAGGGCACTTTGTCCTGCAGTGTGGGTGGCATTGGTGTGTGTCCTGCCTGTCCCTTACTAATCTTGCTGGCTCAAGAGCAGTGCAGTCGCTCCCGCTGCCTACAGCAGTGGTGAGGAGCTCGGAGACATTTAGCTCAGCCCCCAGTGCATCCACACCAGCAGGCAGCATCAGACAAGAGGTGGCAACCTCCCCCCAAGCCAATGCTAAGGAAACCAGCTCTCTCCCCATCCTACCCCCCAGCACCCCCACCCCAAACTGCCCATGACATTTCTACAGTGCCTTTCATCCCCGAGGGCTCCCGCTGCATGGCGAGGAGGGGAGAGCTCCTGGGCTCCCTTTGCACCCAGCATCAGGTTGGAGGAGCAGAAGGAGGGTGCACCAACCCCAGCCCTCCTTCCAGGCAGGGGGGACATCCCAGCTGCTTTTACACCTGGGGCACCTGGTTCCTCCTGGCAGTGGCTGCCTGCTGCTGCTG